GATGCCCTGGGCTGGGGGCACTGCTGTGGGGAAGCTCGCAGCGCCGGAACGCCCTGGCCTGGGGGCACTGCTGTGGGGAAGCTCGCAGCCTGGCTATCTCACCCTTCCCCTGGCAGAAATTCAAGGCCCCCTGGCGCAAGTTCTTCACCTCCATGCCCGTCTACGCCATCATCGTTGCCAACTTCTGCCGCAGCTGGACCTTCTATCTGCTGCTCATCAGCCAGCCGGCCTACTTCGAGGAGGTCTTCGGCTTCGAGATCAGCAAGGTACCGGCCCCAGCCCCCACCCCCCCCCGCTGCCTTCCCCAGGAGAGAACCCAGGAGTCCGGGCCCCCAGCCCCCACCCCGCCCCACCCGAGCCGGGACAGAACACAGGCATCCGGGCGCCCAGCCCCCATGCTGCCCTCCCCGAGCCGAGACAGAACCCAGACATCTGGGCGCCCAGCCCCCGTGCTGCCCTCCCTGAGCCGGGACAGAACCCAGGCGTCCAGGCATCCAGCCCCCGTGCTGCCCTCCCCGAGCCGGGACAGAACCCAGGCCCCCCACCCTGAGCAGGGAATCCGGGGGTCGAATCCTGCCTCCTCCCATCAGTGTCACGAGTTGGTTGGGGCCCAGACTCAGCGGGGTGGGACCCAGGAAAGAGAGGGCGGGGGGTGGGGGAGGCTCCCCGCGGGTGCCAGGGCAGGTGACTCCCCCTCTCCCTGCCCCCCCCCCCAGGTGGGCCTGCTCTCCGCCCTGCCCCACCTGGTCATGACCATCATCGTCCCCATCGGGGGGCAGATCGCGGATTTCCTGCGCAGCCACAGGATCATGTCCACCACCAACGTCCGCAAGATGATGAACTGCGGAGGTGAGACGGGGCTGCGGGTCGGGAGTGAGGGGCACCGGCAGGGCTGCGAGGGGGCAGAGCCGGGCTAGCAGGGGCTGCAGGTCGGGAGTGAGGGGCACCGGCAGGGCCGGGGGTGTGTGTGACTCAGTTTCTCTCTCTGCCCCTCCCCCCAGGCTTTGGCATGGAGGCGACTCTGCTGCTGGTGGTGGGTTATTCCCACAGTAAAGGCGTCGCCATCTCGTTCTTGGTCCTTGCTGTGGGCTTCAGTGGCTTTGCTATTTCAGGTCAGCAGGGGGCCCGTGGGGCAGGGAGGAGAGTGGGGGCTCGGCGGGGAGCACCATGGGGCAAGGAGCAGGACGGGGGCCCAGCAGGGGGGATGTGGGGCAGGGAGTAGGGCAGGGGGCGCCGGGGGGAAAGGAAGGAGGGTGGGGTCTCGGCAGGGGATGCCATGGGGCAGAGAGTGGTGTGGGGGCTCAGCGCGGGATGCTGTGGGGCAGGGAAGGGGATGGGAGCGTGGCAGGGGGTGCCGTGGGGCAGGGCAGGGGGTACGGGGGGGGAGGGGGGGGCGTGGGGCGGGGGGGGGGGGGGGGGTGCGGCGGGGGGCACTGTGGGGGTAGGGGTGCCGTGGGGCAGGGCAGGGGGCTCTGACCTACTGTCTTTGGTCCCCCGTCCCCACAGGGTTCAACGTGAATCACCTGGACATCGCCCCACGTTACGCCAGCATCCTCATGGGCATCTCCAACGGGGTGGGCACCCTCTCGGGCATGGTCTGCCCCATCATCGTCGGGGCCATGACCAAGCACAAGGTGCGGCGGGGCTGGGGGGGGGCCGGGGGGTCCGGGGGCCGGGGGGCGGGGGGGGGGGGGCCCGGGGGGGCGGGGGGGGGGTGGGGATGCGGGGGCGGGGGGGTTGCTGACCCCCCCCCCATCCCCCCCCCCCCCCACCCCCATCCAGATCAAAAGGTTTAAAAGGAGGGAAATAAAATATTATTTTGTCTCTTCCTTCTCCCCTTCCCCCACTCCCTGCCCTGCCCCCTCCCCCTCTTCCTTCCCCTCCCCCACTCCCTGCCCTTCTCACCCCTCCCATTCTCCCTACTCCTCCCCCTCTCCCCAACTCCCTGCCCTGCTCCCTGCTGCTCCCAACCCCCCCAATTCCTCCTCAATCCCCCCTGCCCTGCCCCCGCCCCCTGCCCTGCTCACCCCCCTCCTGTCCCCCCACTTCTCCCCCACTCCCTGCCCTGCTCATCCCTCCCCCTCCTGTCCCCCCACTCCTCCCCCTCGCCCACTCCCTGCCCTCCTCACCCCTCCCGCTCCCACCCCCCCAACTCCCCACTGGCCCCACCCCCCCAATTCCTGGGGGGCGCAGACGCGGGAGGAGTGGCAGTACGTGTTCCTCATCGCCTCGCTGGTGCACTACGGGGGGGTCGTGTTCTACGGGATCTTCGCCTCGGGCGAGAAGCAGCCCTGGGCCGAGCCGGAGGAGACCAGCTCCGAGAAATGCGGCTTCATCCACGAGGACGAACTGGCCGACGAGGAGGACGAGGCCGCCCGGGGGGCGGGCGACGGGGGCGGGGGCGGCTACGGGGCCACCAAGAGCACCAGCTTCGCCAACGGGGGCTGGGTGGCCGACTGGGACAAGAAGGAGGAGTTCGTGCAGGAGCCCGGCAAGGACACCTACATGTATGGGGCGCCGCGGGAGAGGGACCTGTCCTAGGGACCCCCCGACTCTCCGCCTCCCCC